CCTGATTCGCTCTCATTCACTTTGATATCTTATGACTCTCAGTCATCGGACAACTTGATGTTTCCCGTTTTGGAACAGAACTCTGTTACCTAACAAGCCAACAAGAACCATCCTTAAGCGGACTCTAACCCATATATTCTATTAGAAGTTAAGTTCTTTGGATAGTTTATTAATTCAACTAATGTAATTCGCTTCCGTTCAAACAAAGCAGATGAGTTTACTTATGCGCATATTGGACGATTCTCGACTTCTCCTCCCTCAACAACTTTTTTTTTGCTGCCTCTTCGAACTTTTGCCTCCAATATCTCGGTTGTCACGAACTGAGTTTGTCCTTTATTTAACATAGTTTTGTCTGAAATGATACGAGCACATCAAGCTGTCAGTTGGAATGATTCGTCTTTTCGTTTTTTCATCTCTTCTCTCCATCTCAAAATCTCTCTTCATCTATCATATATCTCGAACTACTAAACATCTTCACCTTCACTTTTTTCATTTCTTTAACTTACTTCTTCTATTCGCAGCATAGAAATTCTCATTGCTTTGAACAAAAACATATTTTCCATGTAGTTTTCTACTACGAAATGCTTTTAATAATTGTAAATCCTAACATTCCGATTGTAATAGAGTTCCCAAATGAAATTGTGTGTCTTATTGTTTTCATACATTGTATTGAATATTATTCTAAACTTTTAAAAGGAGTCAAGCCTTTCGTGAAGCTGATTTATAATCCAATATGATTAAATCCTAACCTCATCTCTCTCTCTCTCTCTCTATCTCCCTCTATTTCTCTCTGTCAACCTACCACCCCCCTCCTTTTATTTTTTATCCAACAAGAGTTTTGTTGAACTTTATCCTTGCACAATCCTCCATTCTCTGCTGAAACATATTTTGGGGGGCTTTTAAACACTCACTATCTTTCTTTACTCTCTCTCTAGCCTTTTGTGGTTTTTGGTTTAAATAAAATCCGACCAAGAGTTATTTAAAGGCCATTGTGACTGAAAAAGTCTGTCAGTCGTTCGTTTTACCCCATGTTTCATAAGATTTACAAACACATTCAGAAGTTGTTATCAGCCTTCTGATACTACCATTTATAAAAACATCATAGATACGTCTTTAAAAGTCTTTTTGCGATACCTAGCCAGTCCCTGAAGACCAACAGATGATGAAGTTTGAGAATATGTCGTCAGCTTTCCTACAACAAGCAATTATCTTCAATTTAGAGGAGATTTTAAAAAGGCATCTTTTATGTCTATTTGAATGCCGCTTATGAATGAAAAGCTTACACGTCCATTTGAATTTTTCTGCTCTCACGTCAATTTTACGTGAATTTCATTTCTCTTCGACATGTTCGTATAATTCGGTTGCATCCAACAACTACTTACCTCATCATATTATTTTATTATTATTAATAACTTCCATTTTGTACTCATATTGTAATTTTTGGTTTTTTCTTGTTCTCCTTCTCTTCCTTACTCCTAACTACTTCTTTTCCCATCTCAAATGAAATAATATATGCGTATAGTTGGAGATTTTTGTTCCCATGTTTATAAAACTTTTTTTGTTTCTTCCAGCTTAGGCAGCGCGGTTGAGACCCTACCCTTCCATCGAATTTTTAAAATATTTTTGAGAACCAAAAAAAGTTTTCTAATTCTCGTCTTATAATATTGATCATTGCTAATCATCACCCTTTCTCCTTTTCTCTCTCTCTATCTCTTTCAACCAATTGTGTGAACGAAAAAAAAATTCCAAGAAATTTTATGAAAATCTTTCATCTTCTCTACGTTGGCACAGCAGAATTTCTTCTGAATTTCCTTATTGAGTTCTCATTTCCTCACTTTTGATCGGATTTCTTAATGTTTTTGACTTTTTTCTTCTTCCCTCTCTCTATGTCTCTCTCTCATGTTTTCACTCGTAAACTTAACTTCTTCAGAGCTCATCGTGTCTACTGTGAAAGACAACTTAAATCTCTTCTCTAGCCATCTCCATTTACTAATTAATGACATAATTTTGAGCTGTTTTGTATACATTCGCAGCTTATTTGCTACTATATTTCTCGTTTCTTTTTGTTTTTTTTTTCAAGCGAAAACTGAGTAATTGGGATTTGGGTTGTAAAAAAGACAAAAAATCCTCTTCCTTCTCCGTAGACTATTATGTGCAACTCATTATCACATGATTTTGCTCATCAAAGAAGAAGAATTGAGAAGAATAAGAAGCTAAAAGTAAAAAGCAGATTGTTTATAGTCATCGTTTGTTTGTTTGAAACTTGTCATAATAGGAGAGAGTAGTGCTTCCTCGTCGCAATATTAGAATTATAGTTTCCTATGATCATCAACATCATCATTCGCATCATCATCATTATTCTCATTATTCTCTACGTCGTGTTCTTTGAAGTTTTCATTCTTTTTCACATTGTTTTATAACTTTCTAATTTATATTTTTTCGCTTCAAAAACTCAATTTTATCATGTTTGACATGATGAGGAGGAGTAGTGAAGAAAGAAGAGTCGGTAGACAGAAGAAACATCTTTGCTCTCCTCTGCACTTTCCTGCTACGTCTTTCATTTAAGAAAAAATGATGCAAATTTTTGGGTGAAAAGATTTTTCTGATTAACTTCGCCATATAACAGATTCAGATGAGTTTATGGACATCATCTTTCCTGCATTGGTCATGCCGCCTTCATAATCATCAGCAGCTTCTTTCGTCATTTGCGTTCTTCTTCTTCCTCCTACTCCTCTTCTTCTTCTTCTTCTTCTTCTTCTGCTTCTTCTTCTCCTTCTTCTTCTTAAACTGACTTTAACGTACTTTTCCATCCACATACATATACTTATTCAGCTTTTTCGATACAAACATAACTAGACATTACCAATAACACACTATGTGAATGTGCAAGTTCGATGGTCCTTTGCAAATCATCATTCTCCTTCTCAACTTCTTTTTCAATACTTTGAGCATTCTAAGAGTTTCTTTCTTAGCTCTCTTCCTTCGTCGCGAACCAGCCAACCTTTGGTGCAAGTGTTGAACTGATTTATATCTCCTATACTTTTTCTTTTTCTGGAATAATAATATTTTGTCGCTCACTATCTCTCTCATGCTTTCATAGAGCATTCGAAGTATCAACGATCATAACCTTTTAAGCTTTATACCATTTTAGAGAAGATTCACAAAGTTCTTCTCCTCGTTTCCTCTGCCTTTCCTTCAAAAACATTCATTTACTTCACTTCCCAGTCAGATCACTGAAATCCAACATGTTCGTCTTTTGCATTCATTTGTGCATTGAGGAAATCTTTGAAAGCATCTTCAGTCTACACACCCAACTGTCGTCAGATAGTTGAAGGGAAACAGAAAATATTTGAAAATTAGTTTGAAAAAAAGTTATTCACGAGAGGCGAAGACGAAAAATTTTTTTGTCTTTTTTTCCTTCAAAGTATATTTTTATGAAAAAAAAGGACAAAACAGAATAAAAAGGAAAGAAAAATATTTTAGTTCATTTCTTAAAGTAACACATACGCTCACTGTCCACAAATGGAATTCGTTCACGAAAAGCAGATTAACAAAATGCAAAATCTTAAAGAAATATAAGACGAGCTAAACAGGATGAAAGCCGGGATAGGTTAGGAGGTGATGGGAATATATCAAGCTATTTGAGCATAGTCAAACTGACTATTTTGACTTGGAAGCTGTAGCCAATTAGACAAATCCTCTCTTCTTCTATAAATTGACTCAATTTAAATATTTAAATATTTCTTTTTTCACCAAATTTCCTTATTTGATGTCGTTCTTCTCTCAAGCTCAGTACTCCCTCCCTCTTCTTGACGAATCACGTTCTTCCTGTCTTCGAGAGACTTTCTCGTCTAGAATGTCAAACCTTTCCTTTCCACTTGCTCAATCTGCTTCATTATTCCTCAAATTAACTTTTCTCTATTAGAATTTTCCATTTTTACTTTTTCTCGCTGCATATTTCTCTTCTTCTCCACGTTTATTTTTTTTTTCAACAAATTTTGAATTATTAAAAAACATTTTTCACGTATCCATTGTTTCAATTTCATTCAGTGCAGTCCATCTCCTAAACTTTCCTCGTTCTCTACTTTCCCTCTCTCTCAATTGTTTTTATTCATAATATAGTAGTTAAACGTGCATTTTTCTGAAAAAATTATTTCGAAAACCATTTTTGTTTCCTTATCCTCCTCCCTCATTCTCTCTCTCTTTGGATCTCTTTCTCTTTATATATACATCTCTCTCTCTTTCTCTCTCTTAATTTCTTTCTTTTACTCTTTTCTCTCTCTCGCTTTATCCTTATCCTTATTCCCTCTCACTTCTCTTCATATACTTAACTCATTTCGTTTTTGTTCGCTCTTTCTTTATTTTATCGACAGAATTTAAATTAAAAGACAAATGTCCGTCTCCAAAATCTTCAATTCAGCTTTTTTTCAAATCCACTCATCAACATTCTCATCATCTAGCTCTATCTCCATTCATTAGTTCCTTAAAAGACTCGTTAAGTTTGCGAATGTGTTGAAGAAGAAAGTAACAAAAAAAAAGTTGGATTGTTGATAGTTGTATGCAAAAGCTCGACGATTCCATTTCTGCTCTCCAACAAGAGAGATGGATGTATGTATGTAGGTATAGAGAGAAAAGAAGAAAAGGATGTACAGAGAGAGAAAGAGAGAGGCAACTGGGAATCTTCAGAAACTGAGGGATAGAGAGAGAGACCAACTGGTTGTCCATTTCTTATTCATAATTTTCTTTTGTTCGAAGTGAAACGTTTAGAACGTCATATTTGAAACTGAAGCCATTTAACTTCTTCGCTTCATCTCCTTCTTTTTCTGATTCTCCAACACTTTCAGCTGAAGGCGTTGATTTTCATTTTTTCATTCGTCGTCTTAATTTTCTGTTCAAAAAACATTTTTACTTCCTTCTACGATGTTCATTTCAGGAACAGTTTTTCAAATGTTCTGAAGGGAAAGTAGAAAAATAACAAAAATACAAGCGGATCAGTAAGGATGAATGGGGAAAACTGTCAAACGGTTCTGATTCATTTGCCTAATGAGAGTGCTGTTTATGCTTGGTTTGAGTAAGTATCTGTCTAAATGATAAAATGTACAAGTATGATCTGCTTACAGAGAATTACATATGATATATCAACCAATACACACATATGTATCTATAATTATGTGTATATTCGGTGCTCTTGCCAATTTTTGTAATATTGTAGTTTTGACAAGGTAATGATAACATAATGTTATTCAATTATTCATAATGATATTGTAGGCCGCAAATGAGGACACCTGTCAATATGATCTTAACGGCAATGGCTTGCTGTGATACTGTTGTTTTATTCTCAAACCTTGTTTATACAACACATTATTCGTTTGTTGCTTTCAAAGACTGTCATCCAAGAAATTGGAACTATAATTGGGCTTTATTTATTGTCGCACATGCTCATTTATCTTTAGTTGGTCATAGCAGTTCCGTATGGTTATCAGGTAAATCAAGCTTCATATCTTCATATACTTCGTTTTCTTATATCATTTGTTATAAAGTGTAGATAGAGAGAAAGGAAGATGCGAACGATTCGATTCATTAATAGAGAGAGAGAGAGAATGTGATAGAGAGAGAATGTACTGAGATTCGTTTCTCAAAACATCTTTTATCATTTGACTTCTCTTTTGTCAAAGAAGAAAAAAAAGAGAAACAGAAGTTACTTTTGCTCTACGGTTTTTGGATTGAACTTGCTCGAAACTTTTTGCAAAGGCAGTTCCTTCGCACGCAATTTGCATATATTTATTCAAACAAATTACTCTTGCTTTGATCTTTTCTTATAAAAGTTGTCCCATTTAAAATACAATCAATCGAAATCATATGCTAACAAGATGAAACTTCATTTGCATATATTTGGAGTAACATGACGTGGGAGTAGCCACGTGCTGTTTATCATTTCATTTGATGAAAAGCAGATGACCGGTTGATGAAATTTTCTTTTTTTCAATTTTATTCTTTTTTTTTCTTCTTCGCTACATCAAATACATCTTTGTTTTTAGTTATGCTGGCTCTCGTACGATATCTAACACTGAGAAGCCGCGGAAATATGGGAGGAATTCAGGTATGTACATCGTTATACGTATTTCAACAAAATATTTTACTTCCTCGTGTTCAGATTGGGTTAAAGCATTCATATATAGCAATTGCTAGTACAGTTCTGTTTGTGGCGATTGTGAATGCTCCCAACTTCTTAACTTATAAGATAAATGAAGGAAGGTATCAATTATCATCATAATTAATTATAATAATTATATATAATTAAGGTTGTCCGATGTTTGTAAAGTCAAAGATCCTTTAGTAGAAAACGCTTCATCATATATTCCAGTTGTTGCTGATATTGCACTTGCTCATCATTGCCTTGTATGCTTCAAATATTCCATGTTATGTAACATTCATATTGCTTTAGGTGTTTCGTTTGGCATTCTGGATCTCAGGATTGGTTTTTAAAGTTATGCCATGCTGTTTACTATCTCTTTTTGTTTGGCTGCTGCTTGGAATTCTTAAAGAGGTGAACATAGTTTCTATCTATTATCCGCGTGTTGGAATCTTTCAACTGTGCTTCCTCAAACTTACTCGAGAATTATGATATGAATTGTTTATGGAATTGTTGTAGGTAAAAGCCAATCGTCAGAGGCTTCTGAAAAATTCAAGGCATACTCCAAGTGCTACGCCTACACGAAACGCTTGGGTCGGATCTTTGCCCGGAGAGAAGCTTCATCGTGGTAGCATCAAGTACGTTATGCTGAAATTTTTTATTCAATTTGACTTTTCTCGGAAATGTATTTGATGGAATTGAATTTTTTTTTGCAGAGGTCGCGGTGAACGAGCAGACCGTACGACACACATGCTGTTAGCTATAGTGGTTGTTATGCTTGTCACAGAAATGCCTCAGGGTATTATGGCTCTTTTATCCGGTATGGCGTCATCTTTTCTCTCTTTATTTGTAGAAGAAAAACGCATTGAATAACTAGAGATAAAGAAAAAAAGGGAGAAAAGCAGAAAAAAAAGTGGAAATATTTGAGAAAGTAGAAGAAGACGAAGAAGAATAGATGACAAGAAAGCTGCTGGGATATATGCTTTCTCGTTACGAAACCTGAGTGTTTTGAATAATTCGTAGAGGATAGAGAAAAGAGTGAAAAAAACATTCTGTGTTCCCTCCCTTTTTGAAACTTTGAATGACTACATAAGCAAAAATAATGGCTAATTCATTTGCAATTTTAGAGTCATCAACTAGAGGAAAAGGGTAAAATAAGGGTATTAAACAGCTAAAACATTATGCCAATTTTTAGAGAGCTTAAACTGTTTCGTTTTGCAACAAAAAAAAATTTTTTTTCAAAAATTTTTAGAAAAGCTTAATCAGAATTTTAAAATCTATTTTTTCTCTTTTTCTCTCTCTCTCTCTCTCTCTTGTTTCTAGCTCAGTAAAGTTGTGTGAGTAAAGGAGTTTATGGAGAAATCCTCATTTTCATTCATGGGGGATTCTCCGTATAGTTACCAGCCCTTCTTTTTGCAAAGATCTTTATTGTATTTTCACAAACACATTTTCCACATCTACGAAGAACAACACTCCCTGAACTCAGAAAACTACGAGAAACTAAGAATAATTAGAAACATACAGCCACAACTATTCTGAAAACTCAAATCATAAGAAATTACTTGAATATCCATAGTTACTAAGCACTCGTACGTGTTCTTATCGGAACCTTTCACATCCCGCACAATGAGACTGAAGAATGGAAACCTGGTTATTTGACTCATTTCATCTTACTGTTTCAGGTTTATTCTCGGAACAGTTTCGTACACATATTTATAATAAAATTGGAGATGTATTAGATCTCTTATCACTCTGTGGTGCTTGTATGTCTTTCATTATTTATTGTTCCATGAGTGGACAATTCCGTAACGTAAGTTGTACAGTATAATAATTATAATTCATTGTTGATATATTAAGGAGTTCAAACGAGTTTTTCTACCTCGATTCTTTTCCTGTAAAAAAAAGAATCCGAGTGTTCGACGACAATCTGATACATATACCAAAATGACATATCTACGAGCTACTGATTGCAAAAATGGAAACGGTTCCATCTGTTCAGATGTTGATAGAACAACTATGAAAGTAAGCAGCGAATTCAATCAGTTAATAATACTTCATTGGCTCTTTAAGTGTAGTAGTATGGATATAAGTCGTTCATACAACGAATTAGCAACTTCTCCATCATCTGCTCAGCAATTTACTCCATCTCCAGTACCTCCAAAAGCTGATGTTAAGCCGGTGCCTGTTGAATCCGAATCAACAGAATCAACATCTAGGTATTGCGGTGCTATAGATACTGTGAATGTAACATGCATGTTGTAGGGAAACAATAGAGGAAGAAACAGGTCATGCCTTCTTAGAAATTACTCAGGAAAAGGAGCAAGAAGCTCCTTTAATAGTTGATGTCTAAAATCTAAACGTTCCCTCAAGCTATATTCTACTTAAATTTTTTTACATTTTTATTCATTTAACGATCTATTTTATACAATGAAATTTAATCGACGAACATTATTTTCTTCTTATTTTTTAAAAACCTTTTTTCAATTTTTTTTGCTGCACTTCTAGAAGATAAAAAATATTTGTTAGATGAAGAATTCTTTGATGAACAATATTTCATTTTTCATTCATTCAGATTTCTTATCATTTCTAACTTTGATATTGCCAAATACGAACGGGTTTCCTAAGTGTTCGATTAAAAACTTTTTTTTTTGTTTTTTATTATTTTTTATTCATCTCATAAAGTGATTTAGTTATGTTATTTATGAATATGAACTTATGATCATTTTCTTTCTGTAAAAAATTTTTTTTTCCTCAGATTTTTAAAATTCGAAGCATCCAAGATGTGTGAAATAAATATTTTAAAATTTCTCATTTTTTGACAACAGAGTTGAGGTCGAGTGAATAGACCAGACGCAGAAAGCTTTCGGAAGGAATTGACAAATCGATTGGTGTTCATATATTACCCATTAATCTGTTTGTTGAACTAACAATCCATTCTACTACAGTCAATAAAACAAACTTGCAGGACTGTTATTTGATTCGGCAGTCTTCTGTTACGCGTTCTATCTTATCGCAGTGGTTGCATGTAAGGATTGGCTCATTCTGGAGCTAGGTCTTCGAAATGGTGCCTTCGTATTGCCTCTAAGATGAAAGCTGTTTTTTGAGCCGCTGCGAACGCTTTGTGCGGATAGAGTTTCTGGAAAAAGTATTCTTCTAAGAACTAATGAGAAACATATTACTGACCTATCAGAAAGTGTCCAAGGCTGCCAATCAGCCATGTTCTGAACACTTAAATTAAGAGCATGTCGGTACGGTCTCGGATTGTCCCAAATCAATGGAAAATGATAGTTGTCTCTGGAGGGAGTATTCTTTCAAAAAATTAATAGAATAGGAAGTTTACCTTTCGATGTAAAAAAACTGTTTCTCTGTTACTCAGTCGGAAATCTCTTTATACCCAATATCTTTATAGTGGTTCATGATTGGGAGGCTGATAAGTTGATGTTAGGAGTACATCTTCCTGAATTTTGAAAAAAAAACATTTGCTGTATGAGTAGGCGGCGGTATTTCATGACTCAACGCAGAAACAGGCAGTTATCACAACATGATTTCTTATTTTTCTTATTTTCTAAAATTTTTTGCTTGATGCCTGGGCGTATCCCCCTTATCAGCTTCCCAATCACGACCACTGGGTATAAAAGGCTTTCGACTGAAGGACTGAGCAACCGTTTTTCGACTTCGCGAGGTGAGCTTCATCTTCTCTACTAATTCTTCAAGGAATACTTTCTCCAGAGACTATCACCATGTCATCGCCACTACCGTCCACTGATTTGGAAGAGAAGAAGCAGAAGGTCGATGACAAAGTCGATAGTGTCGAAAAGCGCGCTGTTCAGAACAAGACTAAAATTTTTACTAAGTAAGTTATATGTGTTTCGTTGGTTCTTAGAATAATACGTTTTCCAGTTTTCCTAAAAATTCGACATCATCAGAAAATTATGACAATTCAGATACGAGCTGATGTCATAATCAGTAATTGAAGCTACTTGTGATTGCTACATACCATATACGCGAAACAATATAAATTCTTCGAGAAGCTATCGTTTATGAATATATACTAAATGAGTATTCAATGAGAAGCAGTGTTCTATTTTTTTTTCTAACTATCGAACTTTACAGTACTACTGTCAACCTTCAGTGGTCCTAACACTACATCTCCATATCTTAAAACGCCTTAGCCTGGTTTCAGGGACCGACTGTTCGTTATTAAAAAAAGTTTACATCTCAGAGTGTACCCGCCTTTCTGTAACAGCACCAATGAATCTATATAGCGTAAATTCTTTTTTCTCTATATTGTTTCCTTGAAAGTACGTAGAATCTAAGATTTGTGAAATAAGTATTTTAAAATTTCTTATTTTTCAATGAAGAAGAACGAGATGGATACATAGAGAGAGACACACATAGAGAATACAGAGAGTGATGAGAATAAGATAATTGAGATCATTGTAATTAGCATTCAACCTATACATGGAAGCAATCAGAGAGGAGATCAATGATAATGGAAGTAAATGATTACTAAGCTTACAATATTACCGGGAAGTTATGAAAGAACAGTAAAAGCGAATTATACATAATTGCACCTATTGAAGCATATTTCGAAGCGAAAAACTTTTTTTTTCTCCTTTTTTTTTTCAAAAAAAAAAAATTAGTTGTGAAGAAGAACAAATAATAAATAAACTATATGTATAAATAAATATCTTGCAATTTGAAAGGAGAATTATAACAAATCATTGGCTAATTATGAATTGAGATTATGTTATTGTTTCTTCTTTTCAGGCGTTTCATTTATTGTAACAACTCGTTTGAAATTGGACGATAAGTTTCGTGATGGTGACATCGAACAGTCACGTGATGGCACATTTGAAGCAAATTCACCTTAAATAGATATATCATTAGATATGGATGGTTATGAGATATTGTTTGTTTACCAGGAGCATTCGAATTTCCACCTGGGCGGTAAAAACAAACAATTGCAACACAATTATTGGATGTATTCCAATAACGGGCTGCTCCAAGTTCCTGAGAATCTCTCCAAACCATCTGAGAAAAACGCTGACATTCTAAAATTTTTTTAAACAAACAATTTATCATTTTTGATCAATATTTAGATTACTTGGGTTCCATTTGGGCTTTCCAAAATCGAAAAACTTCGCTTCTTCTTCCCAAACAGACACAACTTCGGGACCCGTTGGTAAATGAGATGATTCATCTGCTTCTTTCAATAAAACGTTCTCTCCAATTCCTTAATAATAGTTCAAATTTTGTTTCTATTTTTCCAACCAAAACGATCTACCTGGTAGTTCAGGATAGAGTATTCTGCCTCTTTCCGCTAACTTAACAGCCCAAGCATGAGCCATATCAGCCAATTCCGCTGACCAAGAGAGTGGTTGATTACCGTACCTGAAGCATATTTCGTGTTGAGAATTGATAGACAAACCGTTACCTTTGCCTAACAGCATTATGAGCATCTAAACATCCCCGATGAAAGTTCACTTCTCCTGAAAATAGCTTAAACTTAAGGGAAGTAGTTAAAGAATAAATGAACAACCGTTCTCCTGTTTTCACTTTTAAATAATGAGAAAACACATTACGTGAGTTTAGCGTGAAGCTTACACATCACTGATACGCATTATGCTAATGAGCGGAATGGAAAGAAAATGTACTCACCTAAAGCCGTATATTTACTTTTTTTAATCATATATTTGACGTCTGTTATGGTTTGCATCATATGCTTATCTAATTCCGAATCGAAATTTTTGGATCGTTCATCTCCGTGTGATGAACAGACAGCTTCCCAATCATCAGAAGACGAAGCAACGTTACTAGAAGCAAAAAATATTGGATAAATAAGCAAACTGACAATACTTGACGACGTTCGTTGATTTGGATTGAGGAATATCAATTGGTATTGCTCCATTTCCATTCTCCTTCGGCTTCTCAGGTAATTCCGAGTTTGATTTTCTTAACTTTTTCTTTGCGAAAAATCTTTTCATTTTCTTCGAATCTGAAAGCTGAAGGTGTAGAAGCTTGAAAAAGATTGTTTGTAAACAATTCTCTCCAATTACAAAAAAAAGTAAAACTAAGAGAAATTAATATTATGGCAGAGAGAGAATGCATGAAGAATACAATGAAGAGGTTCAGACGAACGGAAAAGTGAGAAGAAGTGACACAATTTCTACACAAATTGTATATTTGATTGTATATGGTTCAGGACTACCCAAATATGTCAGAATATGAAATGCTTGCTATTTATCTTGAAGTTTTTAGTCTTTTGAAATAGTCTCTCTTCAGTTTTCCCTTCTATGGTCACAAGTGGACTGACTGACATATCGTTTTGCTGGAGCTTGATGGTTGAAGCTTCCAGCTGAAGCGCACGTTTTCCCAAAGGGGAAAATTGGAGGCTCGAAAAATCTGTGTTGCAACCTTCTGAAGCTTCATCTATGGAAGCTATGAGCCTCATTTAAACATTCCCTTATTGACTATTATTTTTTATGTCGTTTTAGTCTCAAAATAGTTGAACTGAAACATTCTAACGATACGAAAAGGAATCAACCAAAAACAACATTCGCGGATACGAACAAGAATGAAAATACAAATTAATAAATGAACAGAACGGGAGACTTCCAGAAGAAATTTCTGGTTTACAACTGCGATGTTGAAGAGATGCCGACAAGCATATGATGAAAAGCCAAAAAAAAAATATTTCAACGACGAACAGTTAACTTGGAGTAAAAGTGTGCCATTCGGCAATTCCTTCGCACATTTCACCCAATTTTCTTCTTTCAAAATGTTTTATGATTGTCAGAGAATTAATTTATTTGTTTACAGCAGATATGTGTGTTTAAAACTGAAATGTGGAACTCCAAAATATGGATGAAGATGAAGCTAATAGAAACGAAAGTGAAGGTAACCATTAAGCTTCTCAAAACTCAAAATGAATAAATTTGAAATTCTTATTGCCAGAAAATTTTGTGTAATTGAACGATGAAAGCCCACTGAACACCTGGATCATTTCTCTAACTTTGACGAATTTGTAAGGAAAAAAAAACGAAAAAAGACAAGGACTGGACAAGCAGAAGCTTGGAAAGCGGGTTACTACCAAACAACAATCGAATCGGATGGGCAGATAGGAGAAATAAATAAAAATATGAAAAATTGTTTAATAAAAATATGAAAGTGAGGGTGGATTTCACTTCTTACTCGGACTTTACCCGAGTCTCTCTCTCTTCTTACTCATCTTTCTTGCCATTCTCTCTTGGAATATACATTCTGTCTCAGTTCCGTAAAATCTCTCGTTTAGCCTTTCTTTTATCTTCTTATTCTCTTTTTCCTCGCATCGTCTGCAGTCTCTCTCTATTCTTTTATTAGAATCTTTTCTTTTTGACGAAGCCTATCTATCCCTCTTCCTTCCCTTCACCCTCCTTCCTCTTTTCCTCGTACTGACTGGGGTCTGATGGTGGTGGTGAAGGGACAGCTGCAGCTGCTTCAAAGCCTACTGACATACACACAGAAAGAGGAGGGAAGAAATAAAGCAAGGGAAAGAGAAAGAAAGACAGAGAAGGGAATAGAGAGAAAGGAAGACAGAGAGAAGTCATACAACTGCAGGCGACAAACGGAAATTCGAGCAGCATGCCCGAAGATATCTGACGATTTTGGTGTGTGTTGTCGTCATTTTGAACAAAAATGTTTATTATACGATCCAAAAATTCAGAGAACTTATTATGGACGAAAAAGGGTGTCGTTGTGGTGCCAAAAGACGACAATGATGACAAAGGGAAGCTCAAATTGTTTACAGGCTTAGTTAGCTTGTCGCTTCGTAGCTTTTAGCTTTTTACTAACTATTCTATATAAGTTCATAGAATAACGTTTAGAACACGAACTGAAAAATAAAGAGTCATCTAATTCAAGCTTACTCTCTCTTTATCATTTTTTCTCTCTCTATTTCTCGGTGCTGTAGAACAGGAAAACAGGAAAACAAGCAGAAAAGAGAGTAAGGGGTTAACACGAAGAGGAAATGATAGGAAGGAGTCAGACCGATAACTGAAGTGCTGTACAGAAAAAAAACAAAAGCAAACTATAAAACTCATGTTAAAAAGAACTTTAAAAGCTTCTTATGCCTCATTAAATCGGAAAGAAAAGAAAAAATAGTAATTATTTCTTTAAATGGTCCGAACGAAGATACATTTTCATTCTGAAGCAAAGAATTTTAATGGATAGAGCTTCGGAACCTTCTAAGGAGAGAAAAAAAGAAATATTGAGGCCATTACACTGTGAATTTGGCTTTCTAACCAGCAAACTTTACATGAAAAGGAGAGATGGCTCGAGAACGGAAAAAAAGAAAAAAAAATGACAACGCTAGTTAAGCCATGTATGCCCAGCAGAAGCTATTCCTGAGCACATCGAAACTTCCAATTTGGGAGTGATGGGGGAACAGAATGAGGAGGAATTTAAATGAAAAACGGTACTTATGGAAACAAGTTAGTAACTTTAAAAGTAAACAAATTAATGTATCTCTCTAAGTATAAATGTTATAAGCTATGTCGTGGTGGACAATGCTTTGCAAGCTAAGGCCTGGCATCGATCCAACTCTCTCTCTATCTCTCTCTCTCTTTTTATTTTCTCCCTCTCTCTCATTCATCAGAAAAGCCGATGCCTAGGCTCTCTAACAAGACAATGTTCTTTTTTTTCACTTGAAGCTCTAGTCCTGAGCCTTAGTGGTGGACAAGTCCTTTTCCAGTCCACAGCCAAACTTCCTGTTCTGTGCTTTGAGCAATTGAAAATAACGAAAATTAGAACGATGATCACGTATGACATGAGATGGACATCGAGAAATAAAAAAAAAATTTTTCTCTTCTCCGTCGAGAGAAACAATGAGCAAACGAAAAAGAGACAGACGGTTCGATGATTCCGAATGAATCCTATTTTCTTCTCAAAAACTGACCAGTTGAGCGCTGAGTTAATTGAATTTCGGGCTAAAAGTCAGAAATCAAATAGGAACTAAGGAGGTGTTTTGCATTTTTTCTGTTTCTGGCCTAATATCTTTCTTTTTTGTGTTAAAATAAATGCGAAAATGTGACTGCTTAGAGTAATTTGAGGAGATTATTTAGTGGATTTGGATGAATTTCAGGAAAATTTAATGTACTTTTGGAGACGAGACGAAGATGAGTCGAAGGGATGTGAATAAATGAAGAAAATGAGCAAAATCTTTATTGAGAATTCCATTAGAAGGAGAACAATTAAAGAATTATTGAATTATAGTTCGTTAAATATACAAAAGAGACCATATAGTCAGTTGTTGAACATTAATTTCCTTTTTTAGATTCAGCTCTTCTCTTTTGTTAAACAAAATAATTGTTTCATTACCCACAAGCTTAGAATCATCCGAAGAATCCGTCTGTATAACTGGAAGTTCTAGCTTCTAAAGAAGGAGATATGCATTTGAGAGAGAAAGAAAGAGTGGGAGAGAGAGAGAGAGAGTGGGATAGAATGAACACAAAAAATGTCTTTTATTCTTTTGAGCAAGAATGCAGAATTAAAAGGAAAGCTCCGAGGTGCATGGGTAGACTAAGAACCTATTCTGCATATAGTAAGTGGAATGTCAATGAATTCAAAAGTTCGATGTTCGGGGTTAGTACAACCCACCTACCTATCTCCCCTTTCAATATCTTAATCTCTTTTGTTCTCAATTGCTCATTTAAAGCAGAAAGAACGGTTTGCAACTTTTACCCAGACTCTTATTCAGCTTTTCAATCAGAATTCTTTCAATTTGGATATGAAACTGATGAATGAATGATGCTTTGAAGCCATAAAACTTTATGACAACCATCAGCACGCAATGGTAAAAACATGAAGAGTTTTTACTCGGTTCCTTCTAAACTTTCTCAAACAAAAGTCCGGAATTTATTAGAACAGTGAGGGATACGCTTGAGATCCTTTTTTTTTCATCCAAACTAAAGTGTTTCCCTACCTCATGCCATGGTTCTCCCAGATCCATTCTCGCTGCATCCGGTTCTGCTTCTTCTGAAATGATAATTTGGAGCAGCATACTCCAGTGGGAGAGAGAGTGAGAAATGGAAATGTTTAAGCTGAAATCAAACTTTCTTTGAATCATTAGAAGAGGATTGTAACTTTTATGGCAGCTGCTGTGCACTTTGTGAACAAAACGGTTGAGAGTTTCGATTGTTCCCAAAAAGTCTGATTTAAGAGTAACACCTTGAAACTTGAAAAATTTAAGTCAATAGACCACCAAAGTAAATAAAAATAAAGAGAAAAGGAACTAAATGTTTAAAAAACACTAATTTGTAGTAATAGAACAAGATAATCTAGTGTCCTATTATGATGGATAAAGCTGTCAGGTGACCATTGACCGATAGAGCAGAGTGCCAATTGCACCGCAGATACTAATTCTTCTTCTTCAACATCAACATCATGATAAAACTGTTGTTTTTATTCCAATTTTTTTTATTCACAGGTATTGTCACTAATTTAACATTTTCACACAAAAACCTATTCCTCAGATGGTGTTGTTCAGTTGAAGAAGAGAATTCTCCAAGATAATATAGAAGTGATTAGAATTCAGAACTACACGGACGAAATTCTCCCTAGTAGGTCGAGAGAAAAACAATTATCTCTCAACATCCTCTTGGTAGCTGATTTTTCCCTTTATAACTGTTCGTTTTTTCCGGCTTCTCACATAAGCTCAAATCGTTTTTCAGCTTTCCTAGATATCTCACGTGGAGACAAGCACTCTGCCTCCATCCGAACAGAGGAGTACTTGACAGCAATTTTCGAACAAGTACAAAACTTTATAAGAACAATCAACTAGCGCTTTTAGGTCAAAATAATTTACAACAATAATGTGATTGCTGGACAGAAGCTTCAATTGAAGTTAATTCAAACTTTGGTTACTTTCAGGTACATAAATAAGATTTGCTTCTATACGAAGTGTATATGCTTCAGAAGCGATGACTGTCCCATGAATGAAGTCCCCAGCGTTCTCAACAAAACAGATTATTTCCCTTCCAACTTGACATTACAAGAAGAGTTATATTCGATGGAGTAAGTATGCTAATTTGCATTATTGATTGACTCTCAGGTTTCATTTAATTGTTGTGACTTACGAAGAGCGGTTGTATTCATCCTCTTCTTCTCTCATCTAATAAACTAACTGTATATTTTAAGTGTTTCTCGAAGTATTTCGGCAGAGTTGGCTTTGGATAAAATAAGCTTTTGGTTACAACGTCATAAATCTATTCTTCGTCCTAATGATCACGCTTTCTTCATTACAAAGTTTACAAGACTATGTTTAAAATAGTTTAAAAGCTGTCCTTCAGATTGGATTTGTACACAGAACATGCTGGCTCAGCAACTCAGGGCATGGCTTACGTGGGGCATATTTGCAAAATTGGTTCACTCCCAGAGTTTTAGTTTTATATGCCAATTAAACTTTTGCAGATGAATCATTAAGTTTGGTTGAAGATGTTGGTGGAACAGCTACAGCTTTAATAGCGGCACACGAGTTGGCACACAGGTAATTAAAGAACAAAAATAAGTCTTTTATACGAAAGTTATAGTTTAGGAGCTTTTCACGATGATTCACACAATGATACAATCAATTGTGCTGCCAGTCATAACTATATGATGTCATCTAGAGGTTTCTCAGTTCATTCATATTCTGTTAACCATCTATTAAAGTATCTGGAACTGATAATGACATTCTGTTTGCGAATAGTCGGAAACTCAGTCGATGCAGTGTTGAATCAATTGAAAATGTTATAAGGTTTAGTTTTTTTTTTATCACATTTCTTTCTCATCGTTTTGTATGAAAAGAACTCCTCAAGCAAAATGTGTGTGGAAGAGCGGAGATGAACTCAACAGCACGAATCCGAAACTCGATGAGTTCGATGTAATGCCTGGAGAAAAGTGAGCTTCAGATATATTCATTCAGCATTATTGAAAGAGAGGGGAACGAATTTCTTTTAGAATTCCTTTGTACCTCCAATGTCAAATAGCTTTCGGGCCCCACTTCGGATTGTGTCCAGTAAAGTTCAAGTACATCAATTCGATAATCATGCTCATCGTTTAGAACAAAGAGTACTTCCGAGGCATATCAGTTTGTCAACGTCTGTGGTGCAAGAATCGAAATGAAAAACGATCCGCTCCTTGTGTGACATTAGCATATCTACCAGCTTTAGATGGAACAGAATGTGCACGAAATAGGGTTTGCAGATGATGAGTTAGTGAACTAATTTGAAATCTTAGTGGTGCATAAACGGCGGATGTGTCTTTAATCAGAAGAAGCTGCTGGGTAAGCTTTGAATAAATTAGAAATACTAAAAAAGCTCTTTCAGACTGCCGCGATTTGAATGCGAAAACTTGTTCGAGATATTCTAAAGTGAAGCTTCGTCACTATTGTAAATCTAAAGACTTCACGGAAATTTGTTGCTCCTCATGTGCCAAACTCAAAGAACTTTCGCTTAAATTATAATTTTTGTAAGAAAAATAAGTAGAAAAGAATGTTTGTACATTTGATCTTTGTCTTCACACACATACACAAAACTCAAATACAACTGAACTTCAAGCAAATTCTCACGTGGAGTTTACGTGTAAGCCGCCTGAGGGCATGTTTTGAACATTACGTAACATGAGAACAAGTATGACATTCAATTTTTATAAAACAAAACGAAAGACAAAACAAAAAGCATAATTCAAATGGGATGCTTCAGATTTATTCTGCTCGTTTGTAAAAACTTTTTTTTATTTTTTTTTTTCGATCAAACTTTTTGAAATTGGTTGGAGTTCTATAAAAGTTCATTTACCAATCTTATTATGAAATATGAAGAAAAACAAGACAAGATTCCGTTCGAAAAAAATAAATTTTTCAGTCTTTTCTTTGAGAAAATCTTTGATGAACTTTAATAAGATTTGAGAAGAAAAAAAAATATTCTTTTCAACGAAATCAATGAATTTCAAATATTCCTCTACGGAATTTATCAACGCACAAACACTCTGTTAGTTTCAGCTTTCACGAACACAATTAACTGAACAACCCAGTTGTGTGTGTACTGAAACAAGCTTGCCCTTCACTATATCAGTTTAAATATTTTAATTAATATTTAAATATTCTATGTTAAGCTTCCAGTTACTTCCATCATTCTCAGTCTTCTACTTCTCACTCATTCTCTCTGTAAATCCCTTTTTCTCTCCTTTCGTCCCTTTCTTGCGCTAGTCTTCATTCTGTCCCTATCTCTCTAAGCCACATAATCATTTTTCCGGAAATTATGTTCAGTTCAAATGCAAAACGGATGAAGACGAAACATTTATCTTCTCCTTCCTTTTTTGGAAGTGGATGGAAAATTTGATTCAAGGTGTTCGAAGTGTAACAGGAAACATTTCTCCTACGCCATTTTGTGCAAGTAAAACCCATTTGAAATTTTTGCTCAAAAGTTCATTTTGTCTCTTTACTCCTCCTCCTCCAAAACTTGTTTTCTTATCTCTCTCTCTCTCTTTTTCTCATGAATATCATTTTTATAGCAAAAGTTCGCAAAAAGAATTTTATTTTTAAAATCTCAAGTTTTGACCCATATGATATAAGCAATCCCACAGTTTGTTTTTTGCAAACGTCACTTGTGGGAGACGATGAACGGATGAGAGCTCTACGTCCTTCTGAATCTGCTGATGGATTGAAACAATTTGAATATCGTCTTCAGCATATACAAAGATATCTCTATATCTTTCTATATATATTCACACAGCTCTATTATACTACTATATTTGGTGACAAAGCTTATCAAAGCAAAATAAAAAAAATCTGATTATGCGAGTACCACGGGGGTGAAGTCGACGTTTCGTTTTTCACTTTATTCTATTTTTCTTTGCCATTTTTTAAGCTTACATGACGTCATTGTTGGCCATTCCCTTACTCTCTCTCTCTCTATATTTTATATTCTCTCAGAGACGGCTTTTCTCGATCTCTCTACAGCTTTATCCTTTTTAATTTGCTTCTTCTCTTTCAGAAATCTCTTTTGGCCTCAGAATTGTTGGCAGTTTATCGAAGTGAATATCTTGGAAAGAAGGCGAGTTTTGCTAATGACAAAGACTTTTCTCTCCTTTTTTTTTGATTCTCTTCGAGCAAACTTTCTTCAATAAAAATAGTCATATTCCATGCGTCTTTGCGAATAAAAAGTTTTGAGTTGAAGCTCCAAATGAAGAATCTTGATGAATCTTCAGCAAATCTTCTTAAGGAGATGCCAAACTCTCTAAAATGTAATTATGTGTCCATGTTCCAGTTGAGTCTAATCACTGAAATTGCCCAAGATTCCAACCAATTCTATTGAAAGACTTTTTTTTACTTCAAATTTATTCCTTTTGAACTTGAACTTCTCTGTCCTCATGGCGGATGTGCATGCAGATTCTTCCTCATATGTACTTCACACAATGCATACTGCTGATGCATTTGATAAAATCAAAATTATAAAGAGGAAAGCAGTCTTTAAGTTGTCATTTGGCAAGTAGAACAAAAAAAGTTGCCATATCTGACGGGTTTTGAGTTGAAAAATGTAAATTTCGGAGTCGGCCAGCCGTCTTCATACATTATGAGATTTGGGGCCGACCAATTCCTCTTTAACTATTCATATTACTTTTTAACTTTCACTTTCATCTTTTAACTTCATGACTTTTGAACTATTTTTGGTCATTTGCATTTGAATCTTGATTATTATTATTATTATTATTTATCGTCTACACAAGACTGAAAGGGGATGAGAATGAACAAGCATATGCGCGCTTCAATCAAACATGATCACAGTGTCGTCTCGCTTTCTCCTCTCTTTTTTTGTTTTTTTTTCATTTTCCAGGCTTCTCATCCTATTTCTCTTTTACGTAAAATTGAAAAGAAACTGAATAAATTATTCGTTGTTCTTGAGGAGTTGGGCGTACGGAAGAAAACAAATTCTGAATCTCCGTGAAAGTCGGTTACTTGATTATTTTCCTTTTTTTTCTCTTCGTGTAAGTAAGTACTAGTTGTCATGTCCAGCTCATGAACTACACGACGCTTTTCGTCTCTCAGAGACATTCCTTCTCTTTTTCCTTTTTCTCTTTTTTTAACAAATTGCCTCTCATTATTAGTAATTCTCTGTGTATTGTACCTCTCAACATTTTAAGTCAAAGTGACTGAGCAAAGGATTTCAAATATTTTTCTTTTTTTTTTGCTCTCTCTCATAAACAACTTGTCCCTTACACTCATAAGGTCCAACTTTGACATTATCGGCTCATTTTCAGTTGTTTCTGAAATATTCTAATCACTCATACTACTTTTATATTATTTATTTATTCCATGGATGCTTTTTGAGTCCTGTCTCGAACTCCATTCTCAATGATATATTACCTAAAACATCTTATATAATACCTCTAGATGTCCTTCCAGAACACTTTCCTTCGCTTTCTTATTCTTGCTTGAACACTTTCGGCGTTTGAGATTCTTAAAATCTTTTAACACACGCACAGCTGAGAACAACCTGTCCGAGCTCACATAAACTGTCAAAATGAAAATGGAATCATTCACGCGGATCTGCGTGGGATTTCACGCTAATCCCACGCGCATTCACGTGATCCGCCGCGTCACCCGTCCGTTTAACCTCAATTTTAAGCTTCAACTCTCCGTTGCCGAAGAGTTCAAGTAGATAATATATTATTCAGCACTTTCTGCAGCTCCTCCTTTAGCTTCTTGTTAAATACAAACCAAAAAATTTAATTTTGCTTCAGTCTTTGAGACAGAAATGCAGAAAAGTGAACCAGCTTTTGCTCTTTTCGAACCGCATTCCTCCAGCAAATTATTTTCTTTAATCAAATTTACCTTGATCTTCCTCTATCTCAGGAGTAAAAAGCTTTTTCAACTTCTTGTCAATGTTTTAGCTTTTATGGGTTAATGGATTCTGAGACAATCCGAAAAAGGGAACAGACTCCAGGGAATTATATGAACTTCGGTCCTTATCTCGTTCTCATCCTTATGCTCTTTCTTCTCTCATTTTTCTTTTTTCTATCATTTAAATACGGAAATCCCTCCCAGTTTTGAGTTCTTCTCTTCATCTCTCCCTCAATTTCTTTAAAATTCTAATTTTAGCTTCATAAGCTTTTCCTTAAAAATTACCTTAAGATGCTCTTTGATGCAGAATGTAAATTTTAATGTTCAAAGTCATTTGAAACTTATTTTTCCTTTGCCTCATCGTCTGTGAGTGAAAAATAAAATTAAAAATTGAAGAAAAAAACTGTTTGGAGAAGAAGAAAATAAAAATTTCCATATATATATCTCTCATAACTTCTTCCATTGCTGGCTTTTCATTAAAATCTGCATTTTGAACATTGCTTTAGGTTGTTTTTGATATCAGCGAAACATGTTAAGGAATTCTTTTATTCAAATCAGCTGAACAAATATCATTTTTTTTTTGCTTACAAAATATATTCGAAAGTTGATTACTGTAATTGATGGAAAGCCTTGTTGTGACGTCACACGACGACGACTATGTCGACAACCACAACGACGGCAACGATGAGCATTTTTTGAATTTCTTCTTGTATTTTAATTAAAAACTTCTCAGGATTCTTCTGATGAATGAACTAAGTTGTGTTTTCCTTCAATTCTCCTGTTTTCTACAAATTCTCCATGCAAACTTCACGTAACGCATCACGTGCATTCATTGAGTTGAGAGGCTTCGCAGCTTGAATTACAAGGATCAGACACCTATGAACGGTCGTTCCCAAAGAGAGAAAGGTTATGATTTCATATTTTTCTATTTTCTTCTTCTCTACCACTCAAAATACTCTTCATCTCGTCTCCTTTCTGCAATCATTTCTGATTTTCTCGTTCACAGATCAAAGGCTTCATTCGACATTCTTTTCTCGTGAGCATTCGATTCCTCTGAAATCCGTTTTGACTGCCAATCCAGTGAAAGCAAGTTGTGAACCGGAAATCCGGACGGAGGAGAAAGCAATCGAAAGTCATTCATTTACCTTAAAATGACAGAAGAAAGTTTGAATTTTAGAAAAATAGAAAAAATCCGTTCGGAGAAGCCATTCATCTTTGTGTCCTTTTATGTGTCAACTGCTAAAAAGAGACAGATAAAGCAGAGGAGGCTAAATTCAAATGAAAACAATTGACCTTCTTTGTTTTTATATGAAGCCTTATGTCCTTCCTTTTCCTTAGCTCATCTCTCTCTCTTTTTCTCTCTCTATATATCTCTCTCTCTATCTTCTTCTTCTTCTTCTCTAGACATGTTCTGCTCTTTTCGTTAATTTCAACCAGGAGCTTTCTTGTTCATTCATCATAAGATTTGAATTAATTATATTCAACACAATTCAAATAAGCTCAACATACTTCGGTATTTGCGTAATAAGTGAACTGACATCTTCCATTCCATTTGAACCTTTCTCTATCCAATTAAATCTCAAACTTACTTCCTTCATGGCGGAAGAACTCACGAAGTATTTTTGGAAGTTTGCCAGGAGAAATTCTCTCTCTCTCTCCCTCTTCCCAGTTTTGCTTACAAAAACATTAAAAGAAAACATTCGAAGCTTCTTAACCTTCGCCTCAACGGAATCTAAAAGTTGGCAAGGCGTGGGAAAAAAAGAAAACGGTGTTATGTCATTTTTTGTTTTTGGGGGGCTTCAACAGACAACTTCAAAAACCCAAAACTCGGATTGAATTGCAGCTGTCTGAGATTTCTTGTCAAAACTTACTAAAAATTCTTCAAATTAGGTTTGGAACGATTCTTAGTTGGCGTCATTGTCGGCAGTAAGAGATCAAATACATATGTTAAAAGTTCCCGGAAGTCCTTAAATAATGTAAATGAATATTTGTTTGAAAACAGCTCATTGGTCTTTTTCACAGATCATACCTCATGTTTTTATGAGTTGGACAGAGAGAGAGAGATAGGGAGAGGGAAAAGCAAAAAAAAACTTCTTATAATAGAGAAGAATGTGTGTTTCGGCATCTCATTGCCTCCCTCACTGGCAGCCTCCCTCGCGGCGTAGCCCTCTGTATGCGTGTGTGTGTGTGTATGTGTATGTCTATGTATGGGTGTGCATGTGTAAATCTTTAAAAATTTATTTTTTTCTTCTCTAATTAAATTATTCTCTCTTTTCATTTTTGGATCATGTGTTTCTTTTTTTAATGTAAGAAAAATTGTTTATTTACATAAAATATATTGTTATCTCAGGATTTTTGGTTATGGAATATTCTGATGCATCGACAAGAATCTTTGGTCAAATAGTCGTTGTTTTTATTACTTCTCAACACGTTATTGTACTTTCCTATTCTCAAAAAATGAAATATAAATAGTAAAGATAGGTATAGTTAACGTCATTTGCATGTTGTGCCCCGTTGATGGAAATGAAATCATTTATTCCATCATAAGCTTTTGACAGGAAGAAGTTCCTTCCTACGATTTTCCCACTCATCCTCCTACTTCTTATCATTATTATAGAACCTTTGTTATATATTCCATGTGTTTTCTTTCTTCATTCATAACAAGCTTCAGTCCTCTACTCTTACCTCTCCCTTTCATCTCCACCCCTCTCCATCACCCGTCACTCTTCCCTCATCTGAAAGATTTTTCTGAAAATGATAAAGTCAATGGTTCCCATCTTAATTCAAAACAATAAAACATTTATTGTAAAATGATGTTTTGCGCCTAAACGAGAAAAATCAGAATCAGGCTTCGCAAACCTAACGCAGCTTTTCTTTTGTTTTGTTTGTGGTCCATCCTCTGCAACTGTTAATCTCATCTGTTTTGACTTAAACACCTCTTGAACTCAATGTATGTTTCTATCAATTAAATAAAATATTTTTCCATAAATGGCACTCCTTCCGGTACTATGTTTTTCAGCCACACACTTATTAAGTTTGAATTAAATTGTTTGCTTTTTGTTTGTTTTGACATCTTCATCTCACCATCCTTTTCCACACATTTAAACTTTTTTTCCTTTTCCCCTTTCTCTCCTGATCTCTCTCTATCTTTTTGACTCATCTCGAAAATATGTTAATTACATGCACAACACTCACTTGCAAAACGGAATTTACGTGAAAACGTGAAGTATGAATAACGTAGAGCTCACGGGAAAACGGCTTTCAACCTATGTTTCATTTATTATGTGACGAACACGTACTGAGCGGTTGCTTCACTCCTTTTTCCTCCTTTTTTTCTCTTCCAAAAATCATTACTTCCATATCCTGCTTGCACAGCTTCAGCTTCTTCTTGTTATCTTCTTGGCTTTTTTTTGCGTGTGCCTATCTCTTTCTCTCCCTCTCACTTTTCCTCTATCTGTTCGCCATTCCTTCCATTCATTTCTTTAATTCTCGTTTTCATTCTATTCCTATTGCATTCATCTTCACCTCATCCTTTTGTAAAAATTCATTCATCGTCTCTCATATTATTCATCTCTTCAAACAGTTTATCAGAAAATATTATTAAATTTCAAAAACGCCATCATGAATTTGGACAAATTTCTTGAAAATTAGATTTCCCTTGAAAGGAAATAAAGATATTGTACCCATTTTCCTGCTCATCTTATCCAATTCAATCCTTTATGTGTCGTCGTAGAATACAGAGCTTCTATCTATTCCCTTCCCTCCTTCTCATTTTCTCTCTCTCTCTCTATCTTTCTATCTTTATCCTTCTCTGTCTCTCTCTCTCTTTACATTTCTACCCTGTGAGGATAATTTTCTTGCTTCTTCTTTTTTTGTCTTTGTTTTTGCAATCTTTTGATTATTTTTGGATAAGCCCATTATCTTTTTTGTTTTGTTTTAATTTGTTTCTCACCTAACCATATTTTCCTTAAATAGAAACTTTGGATAAGAGAAAGGAGAAGCTTTATTTGAGAGTTCATCGAACTGAAAAAAAATGCTCGCGAAAAGCTTAATAAGCTCAATGCACTTTATATTCGATTTTTAATTTTTTTTTCTCTTTGTAGGTGTGGCTGAGAACTTGACTCAACTTAAGTTCTCTACAAGGGTAATAGTATACATCTCATTGCAGCATCGCCATAACTATCGAGATACTACCCAAGTTTGTTTTTCAAATTGTTTTTTTTTATGAAGAATGGGTATAAAATCAAAATAAAATTAAAATATTTTTTCACTCATTGATATTAATTGCTTAAATAAGTGCTATACTCTTGAACAAATCGGTTGCGAACATTAGCTTCTCCAGTCATTTTTCTTTAGTCTCGCAGATTCCCTCGGTTATATATCTTTTCTTCATCACTCTCTCTCTCTCTCTTGTTCTCTTTCTGTATCATTTTCTCTCTATTTCATCATTGCCAGTCTCATCCTCTCTTTATCTTCACTTGTGGGCTTTTGGGTATTTTTTTTGTTTCGCAGCTTCATTTTTGGTTAATTTCCGTTCATTCTGTCCTTCTTCTTTCTTTTGTTGATCAACAATCAATTTTTTAATATTTAAAGTTTTGAATTACATCATCTACATGTTCATCTCCGTTTTAATAATGTTGGAATTTCCAAAAAAGGAAGGAAGAAAAAAAAACTTCTGAAATTGCAGTTTATCCAATGCCATAATGAATGATTCAATATTGAATTCTGTTTCAACGGAAATATCAGTGGAACAAACATTTGAAGAAGATCCGTGTGCCTATTATCAACAGCCATATCATCGTGAAAGATTCATACTTGTAGCCGTTATTGGGACATTTGTGGCTGTCATCAATATCATCGAAAATGTTTTTCTTAGTTTTATGTTATTCACAAAGTAAGGCAAAATATTTATTTCTAACCCATTTTCGTTGATAATTTTTCTTTTTTTTTTCAGAAAATCTTATCGTTCCTCGTATATGCTCTATCTGGCCTTATTGGCTTTTTTCGATATTTTCATTGCCGGAGCTTATATTCCGTTAATGAGCTTAAGCCATATCGTTGATTATTTACATTCTGTGGTATTACTTAGAGCTTGGTAAGCATATCTTTCCTCATTTTCTTGTTGTTATTTATCATATTTCTTCTTCATTTCGAGATTAAACATGATGCATCTTAGGTTTACATATATGATCCCGATGATAACAATCTCCCACATAGCCATGACAGCTTCATCATTTTTAATGGTTGCTGCAAGCTTCGAGCGATATTGTGTGACAGTTCAATCTAAATACACAAAAGTATTCATTTTTTAATACTCTCTTTGTCTTTTTCAAAACAAGTTTTGTTCAGTTTCTCAATCATCATCGATTCAAAATAGCTGCAAGCAGTGTTTTTCTGGGAGTTTTAACGAAAGTAACACATGGATTAGAATTCAGTGTATATTCATATAATATACAATATGGTTAGATGTCGTTTTTTTCTTTCAGATAACTATTCAAGAACCTTGTGTTGGCACAATGAATGAATATTCACTTGAATTATCTCCATTGGCTCTAAATGAAACATATGCAGCTTTTTGGAAAATATGGCGAGTTACAAATAATATTCATTTCAACTAATTTTTCTTATTTTCTTTTTCCTTATCTTCTTAAACAAAAATTTTTCGAACACACAATAGCTCTCTTAGAGTTCCATCTAATGAGTTTGGACTTTATTAGCCTTTCTCAATACTTCCATCTCTTCCTCACATGCCGTTTTATCTATCTATCTACCTCTCTTAGACACACTGTCTATCCACTATCTCTCTCTTCTTCTTCTTTTTTTTCTTTTTTTTACACAAATTTATTAGAAAATAAGAAAAACAAATTTTTTTTCCAGGATTCGCTCTGTGTTGACTATTCTACTGCCATTTACATTGCTTGCTATCATGAATATTCGAATCGTCCTCGTAATTCAACGAACCGAGTTTCAATTTCTCAATGTTCAAAAGCTTAGTGAAGCAAAAAGAAAGGTAATTAATACAATTTATGAATGAAGGTATGATTAGATTGAGTACTTTATCTATTCATCTGTTCATACTCATCTCTGCTACATTCGAAGCAGATCTTTCGAATATTCCCTACAGGGACAAAGCAACATACGGCTATTTCCCGCTTCATCTCTATTTTCTCCGACAAAAAAAGAAGGGAAGGAAAAAAAACTGTTCCGTCCTCACCTCTCTGTCTCTATCTGTTAGTTTATTGGGGCTATGCTAAAACCTCTAGGGACATGAGTGGAGTATCTTCTGAGAGAGTCTGAAATTTCTTCAAAAACATCATTTCATAGGAAAACTTCGGAAGTTCCGATGAAGTGTCTAGGGATCGAAGTCTTGTGGACATTAAAATTGACAAGGAAACTATAAGGGATTAACAAACATTATATTTATCGAAGAGATGAGTCAGTTGCATTCTGTCAATATCCCCCTTGTCCATCACATTCGTGTGATATGCACAATCCGACAGTCACTGCACAATCTTATCTCATGGGTAACAAGTTATGTTATTCACCTTTGCACTCTGACCCATATCTGTATCCTATATAACCATCTAGCTTTTTGCGTTCTTTCGTCACTTATGACCAGAAAATACGTACAAACACCCCGAGGGAAAGAGTTATGTTTTGAACTGCAACCACTCGTGATCAGTAGATATTTTGTACATCGACCACTAGTGATCTAATAATGTTTTGTACTTCTGCTGTGAATGAAGACGAAACCCTCCACTGCTAGTTTAGCAGAAAGTTTTTTTTTCTCTTTTTTTTTGCAATCGTTCAGCATCTTCTTCATCTCCCGTCTCAAAAATAAATTTTGTCGAATGATTGAAGAAAAAAAACTCAACTGAAGATTAAAAAAATAAATTAAATTTCAGAGCCGAGTTCGAGCAGCAACGAGAACTTTGGTTTTCGTTGTTTTTACATATCTTTTATCAAATGTTCTGAATGTTATTATAACAATCTGGGAATACATAGATTATGACGGATTAACACAAGATTTGGCTGCTTTTTACCTCATTTCCGTGGATGTGGTGAGTATAAAGCTTCAAAACGAATTCTCATTTCAACTTTTCAGGTTTCCTTATTAACCATATTTGCCGGAGCATTACGTTTTCCCATTTATATGACATGCCAATCAGAGTTACGTAAAGAATTCATATCGAAATTGAAAAAAATGTATTATTGGAGTCCATATAAGGTATTTCTGTTAGCATATTCATTCAAATATATACAATGCTAAACGCTCTATACTATCGCTTGGGGAGAATTAAATACAAAAAATCAGAACAAAAATTAATTCACAAAGACGATCAAGAGACATTTAATCAAATTATCAGATTCTTCTTCCTACCACTCCGAGGAAAGTTCTTGCTCAAGAACCAGAAGATCTAGAGAATTTAGATCACAGCCAAACCCTTTAAGTATGTGAAATGCATGATCATGGCATGTATCAAAAGCTATCTGACTTGAGTTACTCATTTCATTTGAACTAAACTATTTTCTGTTTCATACTAACCGGACTGCCATAATGCTTTCAAACTCTTTGTTTTCTTTCCCAAACTATCAGATCTATCAGCTTGATAAGAAGCTCTCTCAGCATGATTTCTTTTCCATCTTTCTGCTTTTTCGCATCTGAAACTTTTTGTTTTAAATTATTCGCAAAAATTTGAATAAAAAAAAAACAATTTTATTATACGAATGCCTGAAAGCTATTCACCGGAATGGTTGCACTAACTGCTTGTTTTTCATTATATTTTCTCCATAACTGTAATATAATTGAATTCTTTAAGGGCTATGATCCAGCTTCGAATGCAATGGAGGAACTTAAAAAATCGGCCGAAGATGGAATGGAGGAGACCGAAAGCCGTTATCCTGGTCTCCTTGTTCATCTGAGTACGGTATTGATCAAAGCTGAATCAAATGATACCGTAATCCGCAAAGATCAGCGAACAGAATTGAACAATTTTTCTTAAAGTTTTAAACAAATTATGAGTTTATTCATACATATCTCATGTCTTTTATCAGGACATTAGTACTTTCATACAGGATCTCTAGTACTTCTGATAGAAATTTTTTTTATTTTTATTTGGCTCAACTGCTTTTTCCTTACCCACACCCACATACTACTCACCCCCCCACCCCTCTTTGAAGCTACAGGCTATACATGCTGGTAATATAACATCTTATATAATATTTTATTTGAACAGAACTTTCACATTTAAACAATAAAAAATATATTTAAATCACAGTATTTCTCAATTCCCATTTCATTCATATAAGGATTATTAAAATGATAAAGTATTTGAAAGTCTATATGTGGGCTTGTAGAGATCGAAATTGACTAGAATTTCGTTCATAGTGAGTATCTTCTTCTTGAATGTCTGTCAGCCAATCTTCAGCTGTTTCATGCTCGTCGTTGTGATGACTCTGTAGATGACAAAGATAGAAAAATATGTTTTCTTGGCTTTTGAGTTCAAACATACTTTAGGGTCGATTGATAGACGGAAAGTCATATCAACCAATATTTTTCTGCGATTTTGAAGCAGAAATGCCAATTCGTCTTTGGCTCGTTTAGATCGTCCACATAACCAATCCTTCAAAATGATTTTTATTCTTTTCTTCGTACAATTCTTATTTTTCAAATACAATTTTGGAAAATTTGAAGTTACCTGGCTAGCAAACATGCCATTCATATTTGTTAAATTGCTTCTCAAGCTGTTGGAAACGACTACAATACTCCAACGATCAAGCTGATTTTGCTGGACCTTAGAATAATAAATTTCTCTTCTTCATATTCAGATGTGGCTTATGATCACCTCCATTGGTAAAGCTTTATATCGCCATCGAAAGAATGCTCTTCCTGTAGCTTTTCGTATTCGGCCATCCGACGCACAGTATATGAACAATCTCAAAGCACATCCAAATATAGTTAACTATAAAAGAATAAAAATCAGATAGCCGTCTGTTTTATATGTATTGTATGCTTACCAAAAGAGCAACATCTGACAAAATAAGAAATGAATAATAATTAATTTCAACAGTCTTCAAATTTGAATATTCCCAAAAATTGACAATGGTCGATAAGGAGTTGGAGAACAAATAACAACCAACGACGAGTACGAGTGTCCTTGTAGCTACCCGAACACCTTTTTTGTCATTATAATGCTTGCGAATGGATCTGGAATTTTTTGAATATTATTCATTTACGTATCCGCTTTTCCTATGTTTTCTTTTTTTTGCAACTTGAGAAAGGTTCTTGCTTATTTTCTGCAAAAGTTCGTTCAAACTATTGTGGAAACTTACGCGGATGTCACACTCCCTCTCAGAGATCGTTTCTTAATTGATTGTTCATACTCCTCTCGCCTCCTTATCTTGAGCTGTGAGACGATTCGCACATTACAGTATATTAACATAATAAACGGTATAATAACAGTAATAGATTTCCGACCCCAAAAACGATAAGCAGAAAAGTCATCAACGATGCTATTCTGTATGGGAATATATCTGAACAGAGATCAATAGAATTAAGAAGAGCAATGAGATTAATCAACCTTTCCATTAATGGACAGTTCACTAGATGAGCAATTGAAGTTTCAAAAAACAGAGTCCCCTTGATTATTGTTGCAGTGATTAATAATGAGATAAAGACTGAAACTTTTTTTCGAACCATAAAAACCAAAATACTTTTCTGAAAATATAGGTATTGAGTTGATTTTAAGGTAAAAAAAATGATTTTCTTCCATTACCTGCGTCCCTTGAGGACAATTAGCGAAAAGCCGTTCAATACTTGCTACAACAAGCAAAAAGTTACAAATAGATTCACAAATATGCTGAAAAAAATACGAAAAATAAATAAAATATTCTCACAATGTTTGTAGAGATTTGGTTCTTTCAAAGGAACGAGGATTCAAATTTCTATTTTCGCGTGAAGTTCACGTGTGCGAGATTTTGCGTGAAAAACGTTTCTCGTAAATAACATGTCGCAGCATGTTATTTGAATAGATATTGAGACAGAGAGCGGTTGTGTTGTCATAGAATGGAGTCAGTTGATAGTTTCATTGGGGATGTTTTTGAAATCCGTAAAGATGCTTTACCTTGATTACATAGATGTATTTGACGTAAACCGTCCAGATAGTTATGAGGATTCCTATCCGGAAGTGGTATGCAATAACATTTACAGAGAATAAGAGAATGTATGACGCTGAGACTGTAATGGTCGAATGAACATTTAATTACAATACTGTTTTTTTTTGTTTCTTTTTTCTTCAATTGTATAAGAAGACTATTCTTACCAATTATGTCAAACAGAGCAAGTACAACGGGATTAGCATAATTCTGTCGTCTTAATCGTCTGGAGGTGGAAAAGACGTAAAGGAGAAGAAAATTACAGAGAATTGATATCTGAAATAGTAGAATATCGTTTTGCATTCCTATCCTCACTATATATAAAAATATATATATTTATGTATATTCTCTTAAGATTATTTGAGAAGAAATATTCATTTGATGCAATTTTGATATGATAATCTTGGAGAAGCCTAGCTTATAGCATTGCATGTGAAACACCTATGAAAAGATGGAATTCCTGTTTCAGCTATGTCATTTTCAAATAGTAAAAGTCATCGCAATGAAGAATGGCATTCATAAAAAGAGAGTGAAATTTGTCAGGCATTTTAATGAAAAAAAGTGAAAAAAGAAATATTGGTCAGTTGCTATAAAAGGTTTGAATGAAACTACTTACAACAGCGACGGATGTTCCGATAAAGCCGACAAGGAGTAATCTGGTGATATCTGTATTTTCCAGTAAATTCAGCTGACAATTTTGAATAAAACTGTCATTAGGTCGAAACAGATCCATTTCATTCCTTAATGGAAGTTATAAATACATATTCTCATCTACTTAATATATCAAAGAGGTTGACATCATTTTGGATAAGATCCAAAGAAAATTAATTCATTATTCAAGCGCACACACACATACACCTATACATCCATACATCCATATGAAGTTATCAATCAAACTATTTGATTAGGAATTTAATAGATGAAGAGAAGTAAAAAAGATTTTTCTAAGATTCAACGAAAAAAAATAAACAGAATAATCAGCTGGTAATCTTGTGAATGTTGTGTTCAATGCTTCACCTGCTGCGAAGCAAAAAAAAAGAGAAAAAAAAAGATGAAAAAAAGGAAAGCAAAAACATTCCTTGTATGGCTATTGTGTGGAAAGGTTGTAATTAATGGAAGCAATATAGTCTTCGGTGATTTATGTAAATTTTTGATAAAAAAATAAATAGGAAGAAGATGAAGGAGAAGAAGAAGAAAAAAATGAATTTGAAAGAGAGAGTGAGAGAGAGAGGATATTCAATCCATTTGTCATGTGGAGATAAATGAACGAATGAAGCACTAAATTTCAAACAAAAAAAAAGAAATAAAATTATGAGGAAAGACATTGAGAATCCAGTTGAGTTTCGTGTCTAATCTCAGAAAAAAGGCGGAGCTTTTTTTTCTGGCTTTTACATAATAGTCGTACAACATGCCACATTATCGTTTTGTGAAATGTTAAATCCATCTCTAGCTTTTCATTTTATGTTCAAATCAACGATGTAAAATGTAAAAATTACAAGAAGGTTCAGTAAGACGATGAATTCATAATAAAACTTTTAAAAATAATGGATAAAAGCGAACGGCAGCATGAATGAAAGCTCTAAAATCATGATTTACCACTTGATATGCAATCTGACATTTTGGAAGCAAATCTGCATAATTATGTATTTGGTCGTGAAATTCGGAAAAAGAGAAAAGATCCAGTAATCATTCTATGCTTGTAATGAGAATTGATTGAGAGGGAAAATGACAAAGAGAGAGAGGAATGAGATGAAAAGAACAAGAGAGAGAAATTCCCATAAAAGCATTTAGTAACGATTTAAGTAAAGCTACGTAGACAATTAATGTTTTCATTAATTAAATATTTTTTTTTGATCAGAAAATTAATAATTTCATCTTTCTCTCTACTTCCCTTCTTCTGCCTTTCTCTCTCTTTCTCAATCTCTGATAATGGGAGGTAATGACGACAGAGCTTCCGAAGAAAAACGTGACGATGAGCACCTCTGGGATAAAGATGAATGCTCTTTTCAAGTAAGATTTCCTTCCTCCCCCCCTCACTCCTCTCTCTGCGTATGTTTCAATTTCATAACTACGACTAATCATCTCATATCATACGCAGATTGAAATGGAATAGCCATTTTTGGAATATAGAAAAAACGTCTTATTGGAAGGTTCTTTTTCAGAGAACTATAGAACCAACTCATTCCCTACTTTCTTTTTCTCTTTTTGCCTTCTCCCTCTTTCGTTTCCTTCCAATCTTAACCCTCTCTCTGTATTGCTTCCTAATCTGTCTGGCATTCTATTCTTCTCTCCTATACTGCCAATCTCTAAAGCATTCTCTCATGTACAATGAAAGTTCAAAATTAGATATTTTGAAAATCACTGAGAAAAAAGGAAAAATAAGGAAGGATAATGAAGTAAATCAAAGAATGAACAGAGAGGAAAAAAAAGTAAAAAATGGAAGAAAAGTTATTTAATTTGTTTTATTTTGACTACACACAAAGGCTAGTCAGAGCCTCTCTGCTGACCACCAAATACCATTAGAAGGAACTCTCACGCTTCTCTCATATCAAATTTCTCAATAACAGAAGATTGAAATTATACTATAATTATAGTCAAACACAGTATGTGTTAGCTATATCATATTATATGATATCTGTCTATCTCTATCTCTCTCTCTCTCTCTATCTATCTCCCTCGCTCACTCTCTCACTCAAAAAACGAAAAATTGAGAGAAGCCAAGAAAAAATTCTTTAAATATCAAAGAAAGTATGAATTTTAATTCATTTTTATGATCACATTCAAACAACAAAAGATATTTTATGTATAAAACCATCTGTTGTTTAAAAACGAAAATCTATACAGAGAGAAAGAAAGAGAGAGAGAGAGAGAGGAAAAAAATATCTGAACGAACTTATTTCTGACAAAAACGTACAAACAGCTATATATGGAAATCTGGTCGTTTTGTCGTTAAGGACAAATGAAGGTATCCATGTGATTCCCCTTATTTGTATGTTAATATAAGGTATATGACGATTTCCATGGAAATGACAGCTTGTTCACAATTTTTTTCTTCTTTCTCTCTCTTCATTCACCTAACTCAAAACATCAAAAATTAGAATTTTTATGTTTCTCGTCCAAAGATTATGCTTTTTTAAAATATTTTCTTTAAAGACGAAATACTTTAAAATAGAAATAATGAAGGAGATTGCTGAATGAGCGATGGAAGCAACACAAAAAAAAATATATTTCAGACAAATGCACCTTCTGAAAGCTGGATGAACATAAATTTGATATCAGATTTCGAGCACGAGAACGTTGTTTCTGCTCTTTCTCCTCTGTTTGTTTTTTTTTCGTCTCCTCCTCAACTCTTCCTCCATTTTGTCATAAAAAATATGTTTTTTTTCATTAAAAATCATGGTTTCATAAATTTCTCCTGTTCTTACGTTTGTAATAACAATAGCGGGAATAATAATAATACTATATGTATATAGTTAGATATATATATATCTCTCTATGTGTCTTTAAGTATGTATTTGTCATTCAAAGTTTGAAGTCCAAAAGTTACATCTGACCACTGGCGGTGAGAAAGTCAGAAAATGTTTTTTACCTCAGCATCATACAACAAACACACACAAACACCGCTTCATATTGATTTTAATTTTTATTTATTAATAACATAGAACATATTTCTTTTGACTTGTTTGCTCTAGGTCAAACCAAATAGGTCAAAATGCTTTATGATGTGTCATCTTCCTTATTTGCATAGTTTACCGTCATTCTTTCACCTTCATTCCTTTCTGCCATTTTGACGTTTAGATTTTTCTATTGGAGGTCTATTCTATCTATTTCAGATGCCTAGCTGTTGCTCAGATGTTCTCATATTCTTTCGGCCTCCTCAAGAAGATTTGGAGGTTTATCGTTATCGAACAAGCTTAATATATTTCACGGCCTTCATGGTATGCTTCAGCCTTATGTAAGTCTTCATACACGCTTATTGCTCACAACATAAAAACGATTACCACCCCCAATAATAATTAATGAGAAAAGAAATTTCATGACAACCGTTCTCAACGTACCCATTCGAACTAATGACGCATTCATTTTACGTGTAAGCTGTAATATGACGTGTAAGACGTGGAATGCGTCAACCGCTTAACAATAGCATAACCAATATACATAATTTCACCCCATAAAACGTAATTCCCCCCAAGGTTCTTTCATCAGAATTTCTGATTGTTCTATTATATATTTTTTTTCGGAATAACGCATTGTATGAAACGGTTAAAACTGAAATAATTCTAAAAAGGTTAATTTCACACATTGAAACTGATAAGATGACGTGAAGAACTGCATTCGGATCAAATTGTTCTAAACAATAGAAATGATTAGTTTATCGATGATTAATTAGACGAAATGAAAAAAATGACCTGATAGTCTTTGGCTTTGTTGAATAAAAAAAAATGATAACGAGACTATGTAAGGTTTTGTTTGAAGTATGACAAAGAAATTCGACAAAGTGTCGGAAGTAGAAATGTGACAAGAAGAAAAAACATCCAAATAACTATGAATCATAAGCTTCTTCAACTATATCACCATTTCAGATCATTCAATTTGATGAGCTTGGGATAGAGATGGCTTCATTGGCCAAATAGAATAACCGTTATTCACGCATTTTATGGAGAAATTGATAAAATCGAACAAAAATTGAATGTTGATGTCGATGATATGTTATGAACTTGTGTCTTTCATTTCCTTTTTTTATCGAAAACCTGTTTACTCAAATCAATCAGTCATTTGGGCCTTCTTTATAAAAGAAGACTTCAATTGCAATTCACAGTTTTCTGTTTTGTTTTATTGAAACAAATAAATCAAATGAAATATACAATTATTCTTTTTGTCGCTTTAATTGCTGTTGCAGCTGCCCAATTCGGATGGGGAGGTATGCTCTATATTTCTCTATCCATATCTATTTCTATCCTATGATTTAGTTATTGAGCTATTTTTCAGGTTTCGGACATCGACCATGGTGGGCCTCACAATATCGTAAGCATTTTCTTATTATTTTTGAATTAGTCGTTTTTTTTTAGCTGGATTCGGAAATTCTGGATTCTATAGAGGATGGGGCTCAAACGGATGGGGACGTGGCGATAACTTCGGTAGCGGACGAGGAGGATTTGGAGGATCCCGCGGTGGATCCGGCCAAGGAGGCTTTGACGGCTCCAACCAAGGAGGATTCGGAGGTAGCCGTGGTGGATCTGGTCAAGGTGGATCTGGTCAAGGTGGATCCAACCAAGGAGGCTTCGGCGGCTCCAACCAAGGAGGATTTGGTGGCTCTAATCAAGGAGGCTTCGGTGGATCCAACCAAGGAGGATTCGGTGGATCTAATCAAGGAGGATTCGGCGGCTCCAACCAAGGAGGATTTGGCGGCTCCAACCAAGGAGGATTCGGTGGATCTAACCAAGGTGGATCTGGATCAGGCCAAGGAGGATTCGGTGGTTCTGGATCAGGATCCGGTCGAGGAGGATTTGGTGGTTCTGGATCAGGATCCGGCAGAGGAGGTAACCGTCAAAGTGATTTCGATGGCCAAGGAGGATTCGGCGGTTCTGGATCAGGCCAAGGAGGATTCGGTGGCTCTGGATCAGGACAAGGAGGATTCGGTGGATCAGGATCCGGTCAAGGTGGATTCGGAGGTAGAGGCTCTGGAGGAAATGATTTCGGAGGTTCTCAAGGAGGACAAGGAGGTTGGGACAGTCAAGGATCCTCAGGAGGACAAGGAGGATGGGGCGGAGATGGAAGCCGTAAGTTATTTTTGAATAATAATTGATAAAAATAGTTTTAATTTCAGTAGATCTACGATCTCGCGGAGGTTCTGGTGGAAGACGATCAGGTTTTTAATTTTTTTTGTTATTTGAGAATGTTTTCAGCAATGAGGAAGTTTTGAAAAAACCTTGAAATTGAGAAAGCCTTTGTTTGATTAAATGGCCTTGTAATGGTTAAACATGTGTGAAAGACTTGAGACAAATGCAAACTATATGATTGAAAAAAATATTTTCCAATATCCATTTTCAGGTGCTCCAGCTCCAATGTTCTAAACGATTCCTTCATAGGATAATCTAATGTAATAAAGTAAAAAACAAATAAAGTATTGTTTGTCACTTGTTTTTCTGTTATGCTCATTACAGGGGGGTTCATTGAACTAAATGGAATAAGGAACAAAAATCTGAAAGTTTTTATGAGATTTCCGATTTTGCAAGAAGTTTCTTCAGTCTGTGATTACTTGAACTGTTGACAGAACAGAAGATGAGATGAGAGAGTATAAGATCAAAACACATGTTTTCCATGTTTTTTCGTGTAAAGAGTTGGAGGAACTCCTCTCTCATTCGAAACAACTCTTCTTTATTACTTCTGGTTATTATACGTATGTAATTAAATAAAAATTAGTTGTCAAATCAAGATTTCATTTTGTACCTGCCTAATGTCTCTGTTACACCGTGACCTCTTGAAATTGATGAAAAGAGGCGACAGAAATGAGAGAATCGGGTGAAAAAACAAGTTTCTAACATGATGGGCTGCTGAAGCCTTTTTAAATGAAGGCTCCTTCAGCAGAACCGTCAATTGGTCAAAGAAGACATGAAGTCACTTTTGGTTCTTCTTGCTCTCATTAGTCTTGCCCTAGCTCAATTTGGTCCACCATTCGGTGGTGAGTTTCCATTTTGTTTATAATTATCTAGTTTTTCAAATTTTAGGATCCCAATTTGGAGGACCAGGATTTAATAGAGGACCAGGTGGACCAGGATTTGGAGGATCAGGAGGGTTCGGTGATTCCCGAGGTGGCAGCAACTTCGGAGGATCCGGTTCTTCTGGACGTGGAGGCAATGACTTCGGACGTGGAGGCAATGATTTCGGACGTGGTGGCAACGACTTCGGACGTGGAGGCAACGACTTCGGACGCGGAGGACACGATTTCGGCCGTGGAGGCAATGATTTCGGACGTGGAGGCAATGACTTTGGACGTGGAGGCAATGACTTCGGACGTGGAGGATCCAGCAATAACAATAACTTCGGAGGAAGAGGAGGTTCATCCAACAATAATGATTTCGGGCGTGGAGGATCCAGAGATAATGATTTCGGTCGTGGTGGATCCGGATCGAGAGACAACAACTTCGGAGGAAGCCGCGGCGGATCAAACTTTGGAAATGATGGTAGAGGAGGATCTGGCTTCAACAATAATAACAACAACAACTTCAATAATAACAGAGGAAACACCCCAAGTAATTTTTGCAAGTTTCTATTGTTGATGTTCATCATTGAATTACAGGCCCAGGTATTGGAATTGCTCATCAAGTACTCAGTGGTCTCTTCGGAACTGGTCGTTAAACTAATGTGTCATTTTAATCAAATCAAAGAGCTTTGTTTCATAAGCATAAATAAATCGTTTACTTATTCACCTTGAAAAGGAGAGATGAATTCCAACAGACAAGAGAGAGAATGTTTCGGAAGTTAGTTGTATCTCGTATTACGTTATATTCGGAAGCTGAAATCTGGTAGTTAAGCCGACAGTTTAAATCTTTCTGGAAAGATTAACTGAGCTTATCCTTTAGTCGCAAGGCTAGTTACTCCTCTTTCGACATAAACTTTTTTTTTTGGCAAAAAAAATGCAAAAACGAACTAGTTGAGAACGTTGTCATTGAGTTAGAAGGTTTCCTTTCATTAAACTTACACACTTCAATAAATGTTTCTAAAAGTCTTTGCTTCATTAATCTCAATTCCTCTTATTGCTGCTCAAATGGTAATTCTTGATTTCCTTTTCTATTTCCATAGCTCACTATTACAGAATCCCATGTTAATTAGACCAAATATGATACAATCTCCCATTATTACTCCTTATTCACAATATTATGAAGGAAGTAATGGCCGTCTAGGGAACATCTTACATGATTTCATTGATGAAGCTTTAAGTCAGCTTAATTCCTTTTCAACACAAAAACGATATAATATTACATTTTAGTTTCTCTTACACGATCTCCCGAAAGACGAATCCAGGATAATCTATCTCTTTATAATCAGAGAGGACCTTACCTTCCAGGTAATATCCGCTTATTTGAAAGAGTAATTTTAAAAGATTACAACCAATCATACATATTCAGGAAACTCAGTAGGTATAAATCCTTTATTACTTAATTCTCAAGCAAACTTTGGACCCAACTTACCCATGCCGATGCCGATGCCAATGCCAATGCCGTTCTACTGATGTTGTAACTTAATCAGAATTTTAATAAAAATATTCTTAACTTATGTACATCTATTATGAGAAATAGTGAATAGATTGAGAAAACTTGATAAAATTCTTTGTTAAAACCTCATTAAAAGAGCAATTAATTGGAACTTTTATGAGGTTTTCACATAAATTTCTCGTCAAATCACAAGTTTTTAACGTCTTCAGCGAGACTTCTCAATTCATGATATTCTAATCTTATGTTCTAATGATCTCTTATTTGATCTTTCAAAATCTAGCTATTTTTATATTTTTGAACTTTTAATTACATTACACGATTGTTTCTTCGTGTGTATGCGTGCGTGTGTGTGTTGTGACTACCCCGTTTACCGGCTTTTACGATCTTCATTTTACATGAAATTAACACGATTGTTTCATCTCATCTGTCAAACACTTTTTGTCTTTCAAATCAAGCCTTTTCTATAAAACTTAAAATTTAATAATATGATCTTTTTTTTCTTTTTTTGAATAAAACTCATTTTTGTGTGTTTTTTGAGTCGAAATAATTGGTCTGCCATGTGTTACTCTCCCTCTGCCCCTCTTCGAATGTTACATTTTTGTTTTTATTTCATTTTAATTAAACGTAAAAACGGATAAATAATGAGTTCGAAACGTGTATGAAAAGGAGAGTGGAGAAAGGCGAGAAGAACATGTTCGTTCAATCACTCCCTTTACCGCCAAAAAAGGCATTTCTTTTGAGTTCTAAGCTTATCCGATCAATTTCCGATCATCGCTAGTTGTGCAAAACCAGTTTACAATCATAATCTTATGTGTATCAGTACTTCTTTCAATTGTTATAACCTGGTTTATGTGGAAGCCAACAAGAAAAAAATTCTTCAAAAATTTAAACAAAAATGTGGTCGGGAATAAAAAAAAAAGAATGAAAAAGTGAATGACGAGAATTGCCCAAAAGTTCTCATTTTTCATTTCATTCACAATACTTCCATTTTGAATCTACACAGTGACAGACATCATCATCCTCATCCAATGACGTCATGAGAATTGATTGATTTGGTTAGGAATAGAGGGGTTAACTACCTGATCCTAAGCCCCAACTTGTATTTTCTGATGTTTGCAACCGCTTTTTGCCTTTGTTGTCTCATTACGTTCCATTTCGTGACTTTTCTCTTCTGTCTCAACACACTTGTCATTTATGTCTAAATTAGGAAAAATGCTTTTGATATCTCAATCTTTCTTTTTACGTTTCTCATTTTCTATTTATGCCATGTTGTAACAAATCTTTTCTCTCTTTCTCTTCATTTCTCATCGTTATCATCGTATTTTGCTTTTCTCTTCTGTCTTTTCTTATATGGTACAGAAATCATCTGATGATCCATCAGCTCAATTAAGCCCATTCATCAAGAAGAGACCTCTCACTGACCGTGTCAGGTTTTCACTTCGATCTTAACACCGTTTGATCAGTTTTTCTGTTTTCAACTCTCAATCTTCCAGTAAAGGCCTTCGCACCAACAATTATTTGATAAATGATCTGAAAATTCTTTTATTTCGTTCTATATTTTCAATTCTGTGGCCCAGCTTTATCCTTCATACTGACGACGAAATCATCCACCTGTTCTTCCCCCCAATCTGTATTCCTATTATATTTAAACAAATAATATATATATTCATTATTATTTTGTATTTATTATTATGAACTAATGTTAAGCCAGCCTTCCGACTCTGAAAGCGAACACAACTACTTGGGATCCATTCAACCAACGCTTAACGACGTAAGTTTCTCCATCGAATCATCCGATTCAATTTCTTATCAGAAAACTTTTTTTTTATATAAACAAAGCATACAAGTAAGTTTATTCGTAATAACATGAAGACAAGTCTCCAATCTCACCATCCCAACCATCCCGAGAAGCAATGTTTTTTTTTCCTTTTCTTTCTCCATTTTGGTAATGCAAACCAGTTATTCCTTTTATGAACGGAAAACCATTTAACATTGCAAGCTTATCTTCCAATCATCAATGAACTTTCATTTCATTTTTGCAATTTTCGTTCATCAATTTCCAAGCAAGTTTAAATATGTTTTTAAACTTTGATAATTGATTAGTTCAAAGTGTAGCTTAACAAAACACTAACAAGCACTTACATCACTACTTCCTATAATTTGCATATGTTACGTGACGTGAAAAATCACGTGTAACACGGCTTTCACGTCATTTCATTTGTTTCTCGCACACAGAGCGGTTGCTTTTTCCTCTCATTCACGTTCCTCTCTCTCTTTCTATTTTATTCTCCTCTCACATTCTCCCCCCATCTCCCCATTCTATATTTCCTTTCCTCTCTTTCATGTTTCTTTCAACCTCTCCTTTCTTGCATGCCTTTCAACGTTTTTATATAGATCTATTCTCTTCTAACTGTTCTATCAACGTATTACACAACTTATAAAATATCTAAAAAAAGGAGAAATGTCAAAGATAAATAAAAAGAAAAAAAAGCTAAAGTTTTCAAAATGCTTCTTCAGTGTGACACTTTTTGGATAGTGGTTGTCACTATATTGAATGAAATTTTCTTATTATTCAGACATGTTCCTTGATATTTTCATTTTTCTTTTTCTCTTCCTTCTTTTACAAAATTAGATATTCATTTACATTGACTGCCAATCAATTGATCATATTCAAGTTATTTTCTTGGGAAAATCTATTTCGATTGACAACCATATCGATCATTCATGTTCAATCATAAGCCTTTCCTAATTATTTCAATAACATGCTTGTTTCAATAATAATCTTTATAGGTTCTCTTAGCATTAACGCTTCCACCGAGTGCCTTAGCCCTCTGCGTCTGGATGCCTAAGCGACGACGTGAGCGAATTCTTGAAGTTACAAAAACAGTAACAGTTACGGAGATTGCCAATGCACATCCGAAACTTTTACAAAATCACCAAGTAATGGCATTGACAAAACAAAAAAAATACCAAATTGATTCTTTACAGCACACAGTGAGTAATGTAGAAGTTGGAAATGGTCATCCTGTAACTCTTCATATCAGTCAAACAACTGATCAATATGAAGCAGCATCTTCACCCAAAGCAGGGGAATCATCTGAACAATTAGATTTCACATATAGAAATCCTTTAATTAATTGTGAAGATGATGAAGATGTTATTGAAACTGTCCATACTGTCAATGAAAAATTTATTCAATTTCCGGAATCAATGGTTGTTGACGTACAATCGAAGGTCAACAGATCACATTCCGGAAATAACGCTGATAACATCATCGACATCAGCTTTGACACTTCAAGTATGTTCATTGTTTTTCTTCTATTTACTGTTGATTATTGATTGATTTATATTAGGAACTGAGCTCAGTAAAACATCAGGAAATAAAAAAGCTCATTTATCAGCATATTTCCGGCCATCACGATCTCTCGATGTACTTTTGCTATCTCCAACTGATACGGGATTCTATACATCGCCTAACAGGTGATTTCTAGTTTTCTCTCCTTTTTTTATATTAAGATAGTGAAGAGATGTAATAACAAAGAAAAAATGTTATTTTGTTTCTTTGCTTCTTACAACTCTGGTTGAACTTCATAATCTGTAATCTAAAGAAAGATTGATGAAAGTAAACAGACATCATATGTTTCATTTCCCACCTTTCACATCGTAATTCATTATTTAGTTAAAATATGGATTTTTCTTCTTCTTCAACACCCCCCCCTTACCATCCTCTTTACAATCCATATTTTGTGATAAAAAAACAGTTTTATAGATCAGGGTTAGTTGATGGTTCTGAAAGTGATGGAAGTATGATTATCCACACAGATGATGAACGACGTCTTGACAGTGGCGTATCATCTGTTACAGGAATCAGAATTCGTGGGTATGTCGAATTGTCTTCTAATATTTGTTCTACTTATTATAACATTTTTTTTTATAGAAACAAAGCATTTGGAGAACGAGCTAATCGGCTGGTTCCTGTAAGCTCTGATGATGATGATCTAATTTATTTACCATCCATGCCAACAACGTCGTCAACGTTACCTCGATCTTCTCGAAAAAGGTTATTAATCTGTTCTTTTTTTTTGTATATTGATATAATCATGTTATGTTCAGAGCACGAGGGGGTAGAAAATACATTGTAACATCTTTAACAAAGTCTCAATCCAACCCATCCATTTATCAGGTATATTAATTACATGAGCAAAGATTATAATCTATACTTAGAACACATCGGTCGATGGCTCGACAACTCAGAGAGTCAAAAACTCTGTTTCTCAAGGAGAAATCAATAGAACATTTTGCAGTGGTCAAGGTAGGAATTCTGGGAAAAACGTTTGTGAACCTTCTTAGCTTCAGAAGAAAGCACTAATCGATCTCATTTGTACATTAAAAACTCTTGTAAACCATCCCATTCGTACACTGTCATTCGTTCCGTTTTACTAATTAATTGAAACATGTGAAAGAGCCAAAATCAAGAAATGGTCTTGCGTGAAAAGTACACGCAAAGGTCAGCCGATCTCTCATTGAACTTTCAAATTTCAGATGTTCCAACAGATTCTGAACGGGACTTATCAATTCATAAAATAACGGTTGATCTTGAATTAGATAGGCTTCAACAATCTGGATCACATCTCAATGAAATCATTAGAATTGAAAATGTGGGAATTCATTAGAATTTCAAAATTTAATTTACTCAGATTCAGGTTTACCAGAATGAAATATCTCATTTGCCACCTCGAATGTCTTCTACTCCGCTGTCAACTTTAGAAAAAAGCCAAAAACGAAGCCATCAAATGTAACTTACATTCTTACTCACCATTAATATTTCTCTAACGATACTGCTACTGGTTGTCAGGGTTTTTACAAGGGTTTAGCTTTCCAACTTTCCGTTCATAAAGCCGAACAATGCTAACACCCACAATCTAAACATTTTTTTGAAGAAAGATCATCTAAAATCATAAAAGAAATCCCAGAAAGTCTGAATATTACGCGAAGGTTAAGAGTTATGTACGTTCCT